TACTAGTGCAAAATAGGTAAGAGCTGGACATTAAAAAGCACAATGCTGCACTTACTAACACGCTGCGGTCTCAAGCACACTAATATAGACACATTTGAGTGCGTTGTAACAGTAGTTTTCAAATCTTCCAGTGCAATTCTCGTACGGTTTGCCAACAAATTCATTTTGTCCAAACGGGATTGCATGAACTGACATGTCGAGATGAAGAGGGGAATTCGAATCCGATTCTAGCCCCGGATTCCAAGAGAGACTGGACAGATCGGCTTCATTGGATCGATGATCTAACGAGGCGGAATCAATATCCGGTGCGACAGGTATCTCCGTTTGTAGCACAGCTTCCGTAGCCGCCGAATCGGTTGTCAATACAGTCAGGATTGGTTCTTCAGTTTGCCGAGGAATAGTTTCTTCGTCTACCACTTCTTCTACTCCATCATCCTCATTAGAAATCACAGATTCTATTGAAGAATCTTCAGCATTCAGCAGAGATGATTCCTTATCTTCATCTAAAGACGCTGAATCAGCTGAGTTTGCGTCATTTATTTGGTTCTCTAGTAATATTTCCGAACTGTGTACGTCAGATGGTAAAGAGGGATTTGCATCCATGTTGACTGCATTTTCTGCATTCGCCTGACTCAGATCCTGTTTTTGTTGTTGTTGTTGTTGCTGCTGCTGCTTAGAAAGTGCCTCGGATAGGACCTCCTGACTGACACGGACCATGTTGATCTTGTCTGGAGTGCCAAAATGCGAGGCCTGAGGCCGACTACTGTCGTTCTCCACCACATGGATGAGGGTCTCTCTTGCGACCGAATTGTTCTGTGATTTAGATGTAGGGATGATCTCCGGTAACCGTAGTGCATCATCAACGGGGAGAACTGGATCTACCACATCCGGCAAAACTGTTGGCTCCGCCATAACAATTGACGGGGCAGGATCAGTAGCGGGAATGGAACTCTCAGCTGGTTTATCATCCTCCTGAGTGTCCACTGGGATTGGTGCCTCTGGTATGTTTTCCGACAACTGGGATGGTTGAATGAATTCAGCCTCACTGGGTGGCTGGAATTCCGCTGACCGGCGGACGCGTTTTCTTGCACGTCCTCTGGATCCCATTAAATGTGAATGTAAATAATGTGTAAATAATTGTATTTTGTAAATACACGCATCGGTGGAACAATTATATTTCGAACGAATGTTTAACTCTTCGCGTACCAATTGTAATAATCTTTCGAACCAGTCCGGCTGAGTGCGAATCACTTTCATGTACTGGTTCACTGTACGTTTCACGATCACTTCGATAAAAGCTAATGTGGTAGCGCTACCACCAGCTGTCGATTGATCATCCCCAGGAGGTATTGGGGCGTGACGTTCTTCTCGTGTCAGAAGTAGCTCTTGAAGTGCATGATTGTTGTCTATCGGTGGTGACGGGAAAAGGCTCAAGTTGGATAACGTGGTCGCATGGGCATGACACAGCATCAGACAGAGGGTGCAGAGGATCCAATACACCATGTTCGACTGTGTACGCAGTGGCACACACGCACGCACGCGCGCACACAAAATACTGGTCAGTTTCATACACAGTCGACGTTGAGCAGAACGGATAGGGCACAGAAAATGATTTTTAACCAATAGAATACATATGGATCATTCATTGGACCGATAGAGCAATACGGAATCCCCGATAGAGTGAAATAGTATTCTCTTTCAACAAGCACACACAATAAGACGGTTTGAGTGACAGTCGAAATTATCAGGAAATCTGTGCGATGATAGATGATCACGGGGNACAGAAAAAATTGACACAGTTTCGTTTGCTTGTTCGGGCTTAAAACTGAGAACGGATGAACACGTATATATGACTTTCTCTTGACCGACGACCGCACATGCAAACGGTCCAATCATATGCGAATTCCGGGATGTCCGTCCATTTCCGCTCCATGTGGTTGGCGGATACATGCACGTACGTATAAATACACGCACGTATG